GCAGGGAGCGGGGGGGCAGCAGGGGGCTCTCCCCGGGCAGTCAGGGGCTGACCCGATGCCCCAGGGCAGTGCGGGGGCTTTGCGGGGAGCAGCGGTACCGCAGGCTGGAGGAGATGGAGGGGGCGTCACACACACTTAGGCTGTGGGCGCTAAATGGCGCACAGCGTAGCTGCTGTTTGTGGGCAGGAGAGACGTCTCCCCCCAGGAGCGGGAGCGGCTTTGTCCCAGGAGAGCTGTTCACACCCGCACTTTGCCTGGGTAAAACATTTGTCCTTCTGAGGTGTTAAAAAAACCCTCCCAAACAACAAAAGTTTTCCCAGTGTGGACCTAGCCTGAGTCTGCTGGGGACAGGGCCTGGTCCTTCTGACCTTGCTGTCAGGGATCCCCCTCCCGCGCTGCCCCCCTCCCCGACTCACTCTGCCCTCATTGGCTCGGGGCTGGCAGCTGCGGGCACAGAGCTGAGCAGACAGAGAGAAAAAGAGAAGTTGACGGTCTGAGAGGCGTGTGGGCTGCGGAGGAACTGAAAGCACGTGGGGATCCTGGGCCTCTCGTCCCGCTGCCCTGACGCCCACCAGAGCCCGGGTCCCCCTTCCCCTGCCGGGATGCTGCTCGCTCTGCTGCTCCTCCCATGGGCATGGGGGGCCCTGGCCGGTAAGTGGGGACCCCCCCTGCCGTTTTTGCTGCAGGGATGCGTGGGGATGGTGTAGTACTAGGGCCAGGGTGGGGAAGTACCAGGCTGGGGGAGTAGGATGGGGGAGGCAGGTTAGGGATCACCAGGGAGACCCCATAGTGCAGGATTGTTCATGGGACAGAGACTCATTAATCTCTCTCCCCACCCGCTTTGTCCTCCACTTGTTTCCTGCCCCCTGCCCCAGCCTCCCCTCCTGTCCCCCCAGCGTCTATCACCCTCCAGCTGCTCCAAATCGACGTCTTCCACAACGCAGGCTCCACGGACACACAGGGGATGGCCCTGCTGGGCGACCTGGAGACCCACTCCATGGACTGCAGCACCTGCGAGATCTGCTTCCTGCAGCCCTGGGCCCAGCAGGGCCTGACCCCGAAGCAGTGGGAGGACCTGGAGCTGCTGATCCATCGCTACCTGTTCAACTTCAACCGGACTGTGAACAGATTAGCCCAGCACCACGGAGGGGGCTGTGAGTATGGAGCGGTCTAAGGGGATCCCTCCCCCCACCCACCCGGGGTGCTGAGAACTGACACACTCACCACAGCCACTGAGTGTGTCACTGGGGGCAAGACAGCCAGTCCCTGGCCCTTTGGC